TGTGGGCAGCTTGCTGTAAATTGTATATTTGGGGTATCCATTACTGATCACTTCCAAACTGAGGCCAAATGCCTAACACTGGAAAAATATATTTACAGCAGCTGGGATTGGTAAACTAATTAAATTAGTCAAAGATAGTTTTTTAACTTCTATGCAAAGTTAAACCCACCTGCTTCATGTAAAAAAGTTATACTGCACAGGAAGTTCAATATATTCATCTTTAATAATTAACATCTCCCTTCCAACCTACCGAGGTTATTTCCATCATTAGCAGCATATATTTATGTAATGTGTACTTCATGAACCTCATTATGCAGGCAGAATGTGACAAATGTTTCACAAGACAAGATAAGCAAAGAGCTTTTGAGCACAATCATCCATTTAGGGACAGCTTCCATTCAAACAATGCAAAGACTTCCGCTGATTTCAATCTACATTGATGGGTTTCTCATGCAGTAGAGAAAGGGGCATCAAATTAGAGTTTTGAACCCCTGCAGTGTGCAACAGCAAAACACAGATTTATAAAAGGAATATCATAGAGTAGCATGATATAATCATATGTAAGGTAAGCAATTCTGAATTTGCGGTTGTATTAGTATTAGAAGATGACTGCAAAGACCTGCAAGGTCTGTGCTTTTCAAGAAAGATGTGGAGAAATTGGAAAGGGTACAGAGAAGAGCGACAAGAATGATTAAAGGTCTAGAGAACATGACCTATGAAGCCAGGCTTCATGAACTGGGCTTGTTTAGTTTGGAAAAAAGAAGATTAAGGGGGGACATGATAGCGGTTTTCAAATATCTAAAAGGGTGTCACAAGGAGGAAGGCGAAAATTTGTTCCTCTTGGTTTCTGAGGACAGGACAAGGAGTAATGGGCTTAAAGTGCAGCAGGGGAGGTTTAGATTGGACATTAGGAAAAAATTCCTAACTGTCAGGGTGGTCAAATATTGGAATAAATTGCCAAGGGAGGTGGTAGAATCTCCCTCTCTGGAGATATTTAAGAACAGGTTAGATAGACATCTGTCAGGGATGGTGTAGACGGAGCTTGGTCCTGCCTTGAGGGCGGGGGGCTGGACTCGATGACCTCTCGAGGTCCCTTCCAGTCCTATTATTCTATGATTCTAAGGTTGTTATATTCAGCACTGTGGGGCAGCTTTTTGCAAAAATCCAACCTGAGACTCACTATTAACTAGTAGTATCCATTAGTTCTTGAGCCTGAAAGCAATTCCAATGCCATCAGTCTGGTAGTTCACACTCCTATTACAATCTGTGCTAGGATACAATGGAACATAATGGGAACAGCAATTCTTTCCCCATGAATTTGTAGGTGATTTTTCATCATGAGCTGGTCACAGATGCCACTGCTACACTGTTTATAAAAGAAAAGGCATTAGTAGAAATGATGTGCGTCATTAGTTACAAATACAAATGCCCCCCAAAAGGAAGGCAGTTGCAAGTGTGGTCTCTTCAAGGTCATTTCATAGTAAATGATACTGTGCTAAGAAATTAATTATTGAGCACGTAGCAACATTTGCAATTAACTGATGTTTCACATTCAATAGTAATTAAGTTTGTGCACCAGCAGAAGCGGCCAACAGTAGTTTTACTATATGGCAAACTCCATTATGTAGCTCACTGGCAGTTCTAGACCATGTATTTCATAAATACCCAAACTGGCTTCCTCGCGGTGCAAACAAGACAGTTAATACAATTTAGTTTGAGTGAACTTCATAATTCCCCAAAAATTAAGAACAAGCTTGTTCACAGTATCTTTAAACTTAACTTTTATTAATTCACTGTAAATACAGACCTGGTATTAGATGCCTGCTACAGGTATCTAACCTATGGCACTGGTATCCATGCCAAAAACTACCCTACCATCATTTATCTGCTCCTGAGACTAGCTTCAATGGGTACCATTGAAGGTGACCAAATCTGAGAGTTTACCCACCCATTTTTACAGAGCTGCTAGAATTGCCCAAGAGTAGCAGGAGTTGTCTAGAGAGATGATGAAAGTGTTAAAATATCGAACTGTAATTCTAGATTAAATATTAACCATTACACAAACATGAGCTTTCATCTCATGACTTGTAAGATCAGAAAACCTCTAGATGGGCCTATAACTCGAATAATATACAGGGGCTTGCTACTAATACTTTATAAAGTAGATAAATAATAGCAGTAGCCAGCAGTAAACAAGAGCAGCTGCAGAGGTGCTTGAAATTGAGAAAGTACTTGCTGAGCACCTTGGACAGAAAAGCATCAATAAGGTTTAGGATGAAGCCTAAATCTTTTCAAAAATAAAATTCCAAGTTAATCACTAAAATATCAAGTGTTTACTATTTAGAGAAGACCTCAGACACCATCAGCAAAGATGCACCTCTTTCCTGATCATTTTCAGTCAAAAGTTTGAAGATAAGCAAAAATATTAGCAAATAACTGGGATATTTTTGTGTGAGATCAATGGACTGATCTTATGTTCTTACCCAAAAGAGCTCGGACAACAAACTATCTGAAATATGTAAGGACAGATTTCTGAGACTTTCAGACTCAGTATTGTGCATAACACTTCAGATTTTCAGGTAACTTGCAATTTACAAACAAACGGGAAATGTTTATTCTGCCCAGAACTCTGTCATGAAAAGATCTTTCAATTTACATAAGAATGGGACACTAGTAAGATAAGGCTGTTAATTTATCTGTAGAGAATGCAGCTATAAATAAAAAGCAGTAAGATGGGAAGGGGGGAAAAAGAAGATTGTAAAACCAATTCTATGCTCATAAACATGAACAAGTTTAAAAAACACAAACCTAAGTGAAAGCAACCCAAGGGTACTGCAAAACAGCAACAAAGGACAGAAGCTTTAATAGCACATTTCTACAAAATTTAAAATTCTAGAAAGTAGAGGGGAGGGGAAACAGGTTAATCATATAATGACTAGTGATCTCTCTACTGCTGGGGGAGAGGGCATTTTAGTTTTAAAGGTCTCTGAAAACTGTGGCCTGACTTAATTACCAGCCAGTTTACCCAAGGCAGGGAAGGGAGGTTCAAAAAAAATTCAAAATTGGCCTACCTCTGCCAAAATTCCCATTGACTTCTCTGGTAGCATGCCATGAACACCCCTCGGCTCAGCTGGTGCTGCAAGAAATAGGACTGATCTTTTATGATAGATTTATGGCTATACTGCTATAGTAAATCTCATGTGATAGTTGTTGATTTGTAGATTTACATTATGGCCCTGAGTTAAAGCAGAAACTGATTGGAGAGGGGTAACTAGTGGTGTCCCCCAAGGGTCAGTCCTGGGACCAATCCTTTTCAACTTATTCATAAATGATCTGGAGAAAGGGGTAAGCAGTGAGGTAGTAAAGTTTGCAGATGATACAAAACTATTTAGGATAGTCAAGACAGAAGCAGGGACTCCAAGAAGATCTCACCAAACTGAGTGATTGGGCAACAAAATGGCAAATGAAATTTAATGTGGATAAGTGTAAAGTAATGCCCATCAGGAAAAATAACCCCAACTATATGTACAGTATGATGGGAGCTAATTTGGCTATGACAAATCAGGAAAGAGATCTTGGAGTTCTCATGGATAGTTCTCTGAAAACGTCCATGCAGTGTGCAGCAGCGGTCAAAAAGGCAAATAGGATGCTAGGAATTATTAGGAAAGGGATAGGAAATAAGACATAGAATATCTTACTGCCCCTGTATAAAACTATGGTACGCCCACATCTTGAATACTGTGTACAGATGTGGTCTCCACCTCAAAAAAGATATTTTGGCAGAAAAGGGCAACTAAAATGATTAGGGGTTTGGAACGGGTCCCATATGAGGAAAGGCTAAAGCGACTGGGACTTTTCAGTTTAGAAAAGAGGAGACTGAGGGGGGATATGATAGAGGTCTATAAAATCATGAGTGGTGTGGAGAGGGCAGATAAAGAAAAGTTATTTATTAGTTCCCTAAATAGAAGAACTAGAGGACACCAAATGAAATTAATGGGGAGCAGGTTTAAAACTAATAAAAGAAAGTTCTTCTTCACACAGCATGTAGTCAACCTGTGGAACTCCTTGCCAGAGGAGGCTGTGAAGACTAGGACTATAATAGAGTTTAAAGAGAAGCTAGATAATTTCATGGAAGTTAGGTCCATAAAAGGCTATTAGCCAGGGAATAAAATGGTGTCCTTGGCCTGTTTGTCAGAGGCTGGAGAGAGATGGTAGGAGACAAATCGCTTGATCATTGTCTTTGGTCCACCCTCTCTGGGGCACCTGGTGCTGGCCACTGTCGGCAGACAGGATACTGGGCTAGAAGGACCTTTGGTCTGACCCAGTACGGCCATTCTTATGTTTATGAGCACAGCATGTTCTGCAATTATGGAGTACTCTGCAAAAGACTTGAAAACTAGCCTTCAGTGTCTACACTAACACTGACCAGACTATCATCACCCAATGTCTGCATGGCCCATGATCTACGCCACACAGGCTTGGGAAAAGGGGGCCCCCATCTTAAAGCTACCTTTATGATTTTATGTCTCGCTCCCAGATGACTCCCCACCTCCCCCCCGAGTTGCTGTAATTTACAAATGGCTATTATGGCAGCTGAACATATCTGGAGTGTAGTAGCACTTTAGCCACCCGATTTCTCCCCAACTCACTCCTCCTCCCTGGGGACTCATCCTTCCTTAAAGATAGTCCATGGCAGCCTAGTCTATAGCTCTTTTATGCTGATGGAGTGGCACAATGGGACCATAACACAAAGGATGATCTGGCCTATGACTCCTCCACCAATTGCCAACTGGACTATTCAGAGTACAAGAACAGGAACCATTTCCCATGATCTTATCTTCTATCCCTTGTGTGGGGACATAGGGTCCTTCTTGCTGACTGCTAGCCAAGGAACACCATCTGCTCAAGGGCACTTCCCCTATGAACTATCACAGGGAGAAAATTGGACCAGTAAGGTGAAGATTCTTAGCCCCAAGTCAGTCATGGAAAACAGGCAAAAGTATCATGAGTCCCCAAAATGTGATTTTTATTTAAGAGAGACACAGTCCCTCATATCAGCCTAAATTTTGATTAAATACTGAATATGCATTTCTTAAGTGTGGTTTTAATAACCACACCCACAACAAGATCAGTATTTGGACAAGGACACAGAAATTCTGCAGACACTGCAGCACATAGAGAAAAGGCATTATAAAATGTTGCAAGCCACTTTAATCCAGAGCAAAGCTCCTCCCCCAAAGATCATGTACTTCATTTTTCAGAACTGAAATAAGAATGATACATTATTCAAACAGATACAAAATGTAATAATTGGCTTGTTGGCATAGAAGTAGTATAGTTGTTGCTGTCATCTTGGTGCAGTATTGTTTCAGATTATGTCAGTCATAAGGGTTAGAAGGTGAATGGCTTTGAAATGTCAGGAGTTTTCAGAATACCCCCTTTTGCAAGGTTGTTATTGAAACTTGATTCCTTGAGCCAAAGGCAAATCCTTACTGTAGTTGATTGTACTGCAAGAGAAACAAGAAGAATTTAGAAAGTAGACTTGGTCATTGAAATCAATTACACGAATCATTTCATGTATACAAGACTTTAAGGCAGTTGCCAGTTTTTCTTACACCAAATGAATGGTGAAAAGTCATTTTTACCAGTCTCTATAATGTAGAAGTTTGATTGCATCCCCTTAACTATATCCTCTACACCAGACTGAAAAGATACAATCCTCCATCTGTGTCCAGCTAAGAGTGTTGTGGCAGACTGAGGTCTTTCAAATTACTTCTACTACTAAAAGCCACTTCTACTTCTTAGTCTATACAACATACCCCTCATAAAGAAACAAAGTTGTTAGTTATTGACATACGCATTTAGGACACATTTGCTACCGTTTATTTAACAGTCACCCCCTAAAAATGGACAGAGAAATTAAGTATTTACCTATGTACTTGCCACTGTTAATAGTGGCCTAACTCTCTGTGGAGATCACCTCACAGATTTCCTTACAAATCACAGCAATTATATTTTATTTAGTCAAGTTCAAAATCATTGAAATGTATATATTTACAAGGATAATTTCTTCTACAGATGTTAGAACTTAACCATTATTTTTGGAAAAAGAGGAGAATCTAGGGGTTTTTTTGGGGGGGAGGGGGAAACAAGTTTTGGATGTTTTTAATACAGGTTGGAACTCCCTGGTCTAGCACCCTCAGGATCTGATTGGTCCTACATGAGGGGTTTTGCCTGACCAAGGAAAGTCCTTTCTGGGTCCCCCAGCCATTGCACGCAGCCCCTCCAGCCATGGTCTTGCTGTCAGCCCCCTAGCCAGCTTCCCCCTGCTGCTGGCCCCTCAGACCAGGGCTACCAGCCCCACCGTGGCAGCCCAAATGCCACACATGCAGTCCCAGTGCTGAGCTCCCAGCCCCACGAAGCAGCCCCCATTGAGGTCCAGCTGTGCCACTGGGCAGCAGCCCCGCTTGGGCTTCAGCCTCGCTGGGCAGCTCCACCAGGCAGCAGCAGAGCTGCTAGGCTCTTTGTTGTACCATTGAGTGTCAGTCCCACTCCTGGGTCCAAGCACCACCACCAAGCAGCCCCACTGTCTGGCTCCCAGCCCCACAGGGCAGCCCCACTGCTTCCTAGTCCTGCCGTACCATTGGGCGGCAGCAGCAGAGCTGCTGAGCTCCTGATTGTACTGTCACACCAGGGATGTTGCCAAACCAGAGTCCCAGTTAAGAGAGGTTCAACCTGTACCTGAGCTCCTTCTTGGAAGAATACATCTCCTTTTTATTCTTAAACATTTACTTGTAATTGGTTATCTCCTACTCTGTAATCATCAACAGATTATTGTAACGAATAGTTCATCTCTAACTCTTTGGGCATTCTAGCCAATAGAGAGACCACTGACCAATCTCAGATTTTTACTAGCTAGAAAGCTCCAATAGTGCCCTTTCTACCCCAAGGGGCTATTACTGCTGCTGTGGGAAGTTCTCTTGCAACTGAAGATATATACAAGGTATTAACTTTAGCAAGTTAACCTGTACATTTATATATTGATGTGTATATAAAATATGTAAGCCTAGCTCTTACCAAGTGGACCTTCTCATGTACAGTTTCCATGAATCACTACCAGATTCTCTTCCACCACCAGTGTGCTTTTCACCACCTTACCAAAAAAAAAATTACATCAGTCAGGGCTAGAAGCTGCTTTGTGTTTACTTATGCTCCTCTACTTCAAACAAATTTATATTTGTCCTGTGGGAGGATGAGATTTTTTTTAAACAAGTTTAGTTAAAAACTCACAGAAGTAAACAAGCTATTCTCCTCCCCCTCCCTCAATTTATAAGTGAAAGAGACCTCCACCTCCTCATACTCAGACTGAAAATCCTGGCCTTCATTCCCTTTCTCTCTGACTTCCTGTTGTAAACAGTATTATATGAATGGTTGGTGTAAGAGCAAAGGTATGACAGTTTTGCTTTGTTGCAGGCTGGTGAGATTTAGGAGAGAGATGTGCAAGAAGGGAGTACCACAGAGCCCCTCAGGAAGAAGTGCAGTAGCTGGGATAATCTCTAAAAGCCATTTTTCTTATGCATTCTGCAATACAGAGCCCCTTAGGAAGAAATGCAGTAGCTGGGATAACCTCTAAAAGCCATTTTTCTTATGCATTCTGCATTTGGAATTGTGTGTTTAGTAGTTAGTGCTTTCAGCCCAGTGAGATGTTGTGACCCTAAGCTATAAGATCTTTTCTAGCATACCCATGAAGGTATTTTGAGTTACCTTTCATAGCAGTAAGCATTTCATATTCTATCCTTTCATCAGATAAAGTTTAGTTTTTAATTAAACAGAAATTTTGCCACTGGTTAAATTCTAGTCTCTGCTTCACTAGCATAAATGCTGAACAATAGCATATTTCCATAGAAACTGGGCAGATTTTGGCCTTAAAATGGACTCTAGCATAAACGCTGAACAACAGCATATATTTCCATAGAAACTGGGCAGATTTTGGCCTTAAAATGGTAATGCTTTGGCTAAACTTTACCATAAGCCATGAAAGAAGAAAATAGTGTTCATAAGAACAATTAAGTATTCTTAAAATGGCAATGCTTTGACTAAACTTTACCAGAAGCCATGAAAGAAGAAAATAGTGTTCATAAGAAAAAAAAATTTTTTTTTTAAATTAAACCTTAGATTTATACCATGGGCCTTATGGCTGTAGGATATGATAATCTAAAAGTAACTTAAGAATCACCACAGTGGATCAGACCATTGGTTCATATAGTGCAGCATCCTATCTTCTGACAGTGGCCAGTGCCAGATGCTTCAGAGGGGCAATGATTAAATGATCCATGCTCTATAGTCCAGTTCCAATTTCTGGTAGCTGGAGGTTCAGAGACACAGAGCATGAATTTGTGTCCCTGATTATCTGGGCACATACCCATAACAGTCCTATCCTCCCATGGACGTATCCAATTCTTTTTTAACCCAGTTCTACTTTTGCCCTTCATAACATCCCCTGGCAATGAGTTCCACAGGCTGACTGTGTGTTGTATCATGAAGCACTTTCTTATTTTTGTTTTGAACCTGCTTTCTATTAATTTTATTTGCTGACTGCTGGTTCTTACATCATGTGAAGGAGCAAACAACACTTCCTTATTCACTTTCACACCAGTCATGATTTTGTAAGACTTCTATCACATCCACCAAACCTCCAATCATCTCTCTTCTAAGCTGAGCAGTTTTGTTACACACTCTCTCTCTCCCCTCAGCCCCAAACTTTTTCCCCCTTCACTGTACCTTTTCCAATTCTAATCTTTTTTCTGCGATGTTGTGACCTAAGCTGCACACAGTATTCAAGGTGTTGGCATTCCATTGATTAATGGAATAGCATTATGATATTTTCTTTCCTAATAGTTCTGAACATTACACCAGAGTTAAAGCTAACACATTGAGTGGATGTTTTCAGAGAACTATCCACGATAACTAAGATCTTTCTTTTTAGACCCATCATTTTGAATGTATAGTTGAGACTGGAAAATATAATGCGCTTTTACTTTGCATTTATCAACAGTGAATTTTATCTACCATTTTGTTGCTCAGTTTCCCAGGTTTGACCGATCTTCTTATAACTATTGGCAATCAGCTTTGGACTTCATTATTTGAGTAATTTTGTACTGTCTGCAAACTTCGTCACCTCATTGCTCACCCCTTTTTCAAATCATTTGAGTATGTTGAACAGCACTGCTCTCATACAGATCCTTCGGGGATCCTATTTACTTCTCTTCCTATGAAAACTGACCATTTTTTCCTACACTTTTTCCTATGTTTAACTAATTACTGATACATGAAAGAAGCTTATCCCATGACTGCTTACTTTACTTAAGTGTTTTTGGCAAGGGACCTTGTAAAGGCCTTCTGAAAGTCGAAGTACATTATATCAACTAGATCGTTCCTGTTCACATACTTGTTGATGCCCTCAGAAAATTCATATGGATTGGGGAGGCATGATTTCTTTATACAAAAACCACATTGACTCTTTCAAAAAAAAAATCATATTCATCTATATGTCTGATAATTTTGTTCTTTACTATAGTTTTAACCAATTTGTCCGATTCAGACGCTAGGCTTACAGGCCTGTAATTGCCAGAATTACCTCAGGAGCCTTTAAAAAAAAAAATCAGCATCTCATTATCTGTACGCCAATCATCTGGTACAGAGGCTGATTTACATGAGAGTTCACATACTAGAGTTAGCAGTTCTACAATTTCATATTTGAGTTCCTTCAGCACCCTGAGGTGAATATGATCTGGTCCTGGTGACTTGACTTTACTATTAAATCTATCAATTTGTTCCAAAACATCAAGATAGGAAATGTAATTAACATACCAAAAGCACCTCCAATTTCAGCCCCACTGGTTGGAATGTTGACATTTACAACACCACAGTCTGATCCCTTAGGCCTGCCAGCAAAGACAAGATAGTCAAGCAATGATCTTCTAGCATCACACAATAAGGAAAAGAACCCGGTATCATCTCTAAGAGAGGATTTAATATTGAAGAAGTCATGTTTGACTATGTGTGTAATGATTTACAACAAAATTAGACAATCCTGTGTTTTAGAAAGGAAAAAAAATAGTTATACCCAAGCCAGCGGAAAATCCTGCCCAAATCCTTGGTGAAGATGCTGCTAGAGAGACCTTGTTTTACTTCATTATTCCAAGCAAAGGCCTCTTCTTCTGTCTAGAAGAAATTATATAAATAGTTATGCCAGGACTGCTGACGACAAAGAGTGAATGCCACAAAGGTATTGTGAACAAGGGAATGCTAACAAACTAGCATTATGTTAATCATATATGGCTGTACAGAAAGGCAATGGCAAAGAGTTTTTTTCCCCAATCTAGGCAAGCGTCATCTACAGTCCTGTATAGGCTCCCATCTTTAAGGCTGGGTACTCTTTAAATATGATATAGATGCATGCATACAAAAAAAAAGTCCTGAGCCATGCAGTTATGCTGGATAGCCCTAAGTTGAGAGCCATAATAAACTGAATAATAATACACGAGGACAGTTTCATGAACATGGCACATACATGGAAATATTTCTCTCTGCCTCCTCCTCAATTTAACATCCAAGACACATGCACTATTGAAAGAACACTCAACCAAAGCTCATTTAATTTCTCCTGGTTTTTTTTACCTTGAATTTCAGCACATAGAGAATGGGGGCAAATGTCTCAGTGTGCACGATGGATGCATCATGGGGAAGGCCAGTCACAATTGTTGGCTCAACGTAGTTGCCAGAGCGATTCAGAGCCTTCAAAACATAGAAAAATCATGATAGCCACGTTATTACTTCAGACAACCAGTGTGTGGCTTCAGAACTAGATACACTTAGCAAATCCCATTCAGTAGTTTGGATGCAGTAACTGTACCTAGCAATGAGAAACAGAAGATCTTCTATGAATAGCTAAACTGAACACATTGTACCAAGTGCTACTAAATTGCATATCCAAAATTAAATAGCACCATGTACAGCATTACAAATAAAACTATACATACAAAATCAAATTGCATAGTGACCCTACAGACAGCAAGGTAGGCTTCCCTCTTTCCTTCTACACTATGATTGGCAAGCAGGGAAGATTAGTGACTGTGTCCCAGCTGCATGAAGGTGGAGATAAAGACTCAGACTAAGACCAGAAAGGATGATCATGTTCATCTAGTAAGATCTCCTGCATGTTGCAGGACCTCATCCTCCCACTCCTGCAATGGGCCCCTAACCTCCAGCTGAGTTACTGAAGTCCTCAAATCATGATTTAAAGACTTCACATTACTGATATACTAGTTCACATCAGCAAGTGACCCATGTTTCAGAGTACTAGCTCACATCAGCAAGTGACCCATGTTTCAGAGGAAGGTGAACCCCCCTCATCTCCTGGTGGCTGCCAATCTGAACTGGAAAAATTCCTTTCCTACTCCAAATATAGCGATCAACTAAATCCCACATGTGGATAAGACCCCCAGCCAGAGACTTGAGAAAGACATGTGTGTCAGGGAAGAGACTTCAAACATCCAAATGGAAGGCCTGGATAAGACCTTATTATCCTGTTTCATGGAGATGCTGCATGACTCAGGATGCTGTTCATAGCCCTTATCCTTGTGTTTCATTGAGTACGGGAGCCCAGAGCATGGAGGAGAGGGCAAGTGCTTTTCTGTGTGTGAAAACATGAACTGCAATTCAACAATATAAGAATAGGAAAGCAGTATCTTCTTTCCCCAAATTGGGGAATGTGCAAGAGTCTTGTCCAAGGCCAGACAACTGAATTAGTGGCAGAGCTGACACTGAAGTCAGGATTTTCATTTTCATTTTTCCAAACCCACCTCAATTCTCTAAAATACATCGCCTCAGGTATCTGGTGGGACCATCCCCACTCCACATGCCTGACCTGATAGACGTACATATCTGAAGGTCCTGCCAGCACTGGATACAACCAATTGGAATATTGTCTGGGCTCTCCCTGACCCACCAACCTGTGGTCATTGTTCTGATCACTGTGTGTGCTCTATTCTAACAGCTCAGATCAAAGGAGCCGACAGCAAGGTTGGGGGCGGGGGGAGTGGGGGCTCTGTGGTCCCAGAAAAGCAGAGCACAGTGTGACCCTCCTGCCCTCAGAACAGCATGGAGTGTGTGGCACTCCAGTGGCAATTTGAAGGGCCCAGCATTCCAGTAATGGCAGTGGCAGCTGGGAATCCCAAGCCCCTTTGAATTGCTGGGCTCTGGGGCAACAGTCCCCTTTGCTCTCCCTTCACACACACCAGCAGGCGAGGCCCAGATAGTAAAAACAATCACCTTCCCGCCATAGACCACAGAGCCACCCTGCTGTTTGGCTTGTTCCACTGCATGAAGGAACATCGTCACTGCTTGTTTAGTGTGGAGAGGCCCATACAGAGTGTTGGCTGAAAAGTAAAAGAACATATTATGTCTGGTGTAGAGTTTAAAGACATTTTAGGACAACTGTATACATTTCTAACATGCTTATCACCATGATCGCTGGGCAAATAGCCATTTAACATGTCCAAGATAAACACAACAATTAGGAATAATTAGATTCCTCCTCCCTATTTCACAGTTCCAAATCTAACGGAAGCTAATTTGATCATTTTGTAATAGTCTTTTCCCTCCATGAGTAGGAGCAAAACTAAAAATAAAATACTTACAGTCCCATGGGTCGCCGATGCGAATCTGTGCGTAGGCCTTAGAAAGTTTCTCTACCACCTCATCATGGATGCTTTCATGCAAGAGCTAAACAGTCACAGGAGTTTTATAAAACAATTAGTAATATGTCATAGCTGTTGACATTTCAAAATTGGCGCATCCCTGCAGAATTCACCTCAAGCATTCAAAAAAATAAAAGACTTAAAAAAAATCATGAAACTGACTTAAAAACATATTCTCTTTTTTAGAAAGGGGGGTTTTGATTTGCCTTCTGGCTTCTGAGTCTTCCTGGGGCATCCAGGTCACATTTTCAAAACTTTTCTAGAAAATGTGGGGAATTTAAGGGAAAAAACCCTCCAAATATCCTATGACTCACAATGACATTGTAAAAGTTAGCAACAAAATCCCTGATGAAGAGGAATCAATTCCCAGTAATATAAAGAGAAGATAAATAGATTAAAAATCTCATTAAGGACTCAAATATTTTCTCACTCCATCTTACTCCAGTGCACTGTACTGAAAGTTAAACATGCAGCCTCTCACTATGAAAGTACTGAAATTTACAATAGAGCCATGATAATCTTCATACTTCACACAGTTTAAAAAACAAAGCTTGGTATCAAGTTACTGTTGTGAAATCTCATGCTAAGATTCAATAGCTTTACACAAAAATCTGGTACATTAGCTATCAATTTCAAACTAAACACAAGCCAGACTAAATGGTGAAAAATACATTGCTTATGGTTAATTTGACATTTACACTCTATCAAAGCAAAATTAATAAATCAATCTCCTTCACTTCTTGTAAAATGTCTTCATAAAGCTTCTACAGAACGTACGAAGTTCCTCATTCTAAAATTGCACTTGGACTTTTTATGGTGGCTAAACAAGTGACAAATAAAGCTTCTACAGAATGTACGAAGTTCCTCATACTAAAATTGCCCTTGGACTTTTTATGGTGGCTAAACAAGTGACATCTGTAATACTAGTGCAAAACAGAGCAGTTTTTGGTATTAATTTGGCTTTGCAGTCTGAAGTATAATAATTAGACAAAATGTTTAAGAACTAAACATATTAGTTTTATAATCTTAGACCTGGAAAATTAGTTCAAGTTTTCCTGGGCAAATTGTTTTATTCAGTAACTATTCATCCAAAAAAAGGGACATTGATTAAATTAGGTTTCAAATATTTAGATTTTATTAAAATAAGTTTAAAAAAAATCAATAAACATAGTCAAGTCAAATCAAGTTTAATATAATGGAAATCAGTAAACATAGTCAAATCAAGTTTAATATAATGGAAATTACTTGTTTAAAAGCCAAAGAAAATCCCTACATGCTATAATCCAAACACTGCACAACTTACAAGTATACAAGAACCAGAAACTGTAGTATATTTCAAATAAATGAAGATGACTGTCTTGGCAAGGAAAGCAAAGTGAAATTCAATATGGGTCACATGAAAGAAATACTTCTGGAACTTTCAATTATGACCTACAGGTTAATAGTAATTTTTCCTGTCACACTGGCTTCAAATGTACTTGAAGTATGTTTTACAAGTACTACTACCTATTCTGCGCTATACTGAATGATTTAATTATCCCAACTTCAATACATATTTACTCACCAGCCTTCTGGCAGTTGTGCATCTCTGGCCTGCTGTCCCCACAGCAGCAAATAAAGCAGAGGGGATCACTAGGTTAAGATCTGCATCTTCAAACACTGAAAGAGGAATTGAACATCAAGATGTAAGTTATTGGCTTCTGGTTCTAATGCCCTCTAAATTCAGTGGACACAAATTAGTAAACATAGTGTAGTAAATTCTATTAGGCCTTTCAGGTAGCACTAGGAAAGAGATGAATGTACAAAGTAAATTAGGGTATATCTACACTCCCACCCTAGTTCGAACTAGGGTGGTAGTGTAGACATATCACAAAATAAATTAGGGTATGTCTACACTACAACCCTAGTTCAAACTAGGGTGGTAGTGTAGACATACCCTTAAAGACACTTCAGTTGCATGTCTTTGGAATTAAGCACAAAGGTTTGGTTCTCCAGGCCATTTTGAATAAAGTTTCCCATGCAACACAACTTGATTATGAATCAAGAAGCTGCAATCAGTTTCCTGCATTCCTCCTCTCTCCATTCTGCTTGAGTGGAACCCAGATGGCATGGAGAACCAACACCAAAGGGTGGTCAGATAGCATGGAGGATCAATCCCTCAGGGCACAAATTTCTAATTCAGTGGAGCAAAGGCACTGAGGAAAAAAAAAACATGAAGTAGAAAAAAAAAAAACTGTCCAGCATAAAAATTAATATAACTCAAAATGGTGTCATTCTGGGTTTCACTTGTTCCAAAAGACTCCAGACAGATTAGCCAGGAGGAAATTTGCTGGTTTACAAGAGGGCAGTGAGAAAAAAAAAACCATGAAGTAGAAAAAAAAAAAAAACTGTCTAGCATAAAAATTAATATAGCTCAAAATGATGTCATTCTGGGTTTCACATGTTCCAAAAGACTCCAGACAGATTACCCAGGAGGAAATTTGCTGGTTTACAAGATTATTAAATAAAAGGCAAGAGTGGTCAAGTAACTTCTACACAGTCACACAAACAAGATAAAAACCACAAAAGGCTAAACGAGTGCAATAGAGGGATAAAAGTGTATGAGGATCTCAAGTGTTAACTAGTATACCTTTCCTCTGTTTCCACTTAAGGTTATATCCACACAGCACCAGGGAGATACAATTCCCAGCTTGAGCTAGTGTGTTAATATCAGTGGGGCTGCAGTGTCATGAGCTACAGCTCAAGATAAATCTTGCCTGATCCACTGGGTACAAACTCTAGTACCTAACCTGAACTGCAGCCCATGCCACTGTGGCTGAACTAATTTTGTTAACCCACTAGCTCAAGTCAAGGTAGTCATGGAAAAACTCACATCACCTTCACATCAGGCAAGATTTCTCTTGAGCTGTAGATCAGGCCTTAAGATATCGAAATCTGAACTATACTACTGGACAATACAGAGGGAAGTAGGTATTTTTCTTAAGGATGTTTTCCCAGAATTATGTGCCTATTGGTCAGCACCTACATAAAGACACAGCTATCTCCAACTAACGATCTTCTTAAACATGGTCCTCAAGTAATTTTGTTTATATCCCATCATTTGAATGTACCAGAAAAATAAGTGTACCAAGACACAATGCATACACAAGAGTTTGACTTTTCACTTGCATATGTCCTTCATTCGTTCATCCCCAAAATACCACTAACCCCTCAAACATAGTGTGCTAGTATACAACCACAATGGGAAAATGACTATTCTAGACTTACTACTCAAGCAGAGAGCAATACAAATATATAAATGTTTTTTAAAAAGCAAAATATTGGAAAAGCAAAAATTTGTTTTCAGTTAATAGAGAACATTAGCGAGAGAGGTAGTGTCTTTATTATTTCTAATATGAAAAACCCTATAAATAGACGTATGATCCAGTATTTAAGTTCAGCACAATAATATGAAACACCTGGGTCCATTGTATAGTCCTCACCCTTCAATGCCAAGATCAGAGGATGTATGTTCAGCTTTTAAAGGGTGTTTTGTTCCACTGTGATCCCTCTGGCCGGTTAAAGAAAGGCACTGACAGACAAAAGGGATTTCCATCTAGTCTGATTGGAATATGGCGACTAGGATGTAGAGCCTTGAGAGCATGGAGGTGGAGAACTGATCATAAAAATGGAGGTCTGTGGGGAGGGGGAGGGATCATTATTCACATTATTTAGTCCTGTTTCAGCAGGGTATTTCATGTATTTGGAGTCAGGCACTTGCATAAGCCTTCAGCTGTGATAGCATTCACTATATGCTAGGTACTTTCCATACACAGAAGACAATTCCAGACAAAAAGATTAGTCTACTATGAACGCAATATTAACATTAGCTGTAACTTGGTATGAGAAGAGATTATTATATTGTGTATTACCAACAAGAGCGTTGTTTCCACCAAGCTCTAACAAACTGCGTCCTGTTAAAATAAGTAAATAGTAATGTGAGTTAAGAGGCTAGTTGTGAATAACAATCATACACAGTCCCTGCACAGTGAATAGGACCTTACTTCATGAGTGCTCCCACTCAAACCAATGGTATTACTCAAGGACTAAGACTAACATCATCTATCTTATAGTGACAAGAACTTTTGCTTTAAAAAATAAATTACAAAACCCACTAAAATAGTGGAACATGTGAAAGACCTAGACAATGAGAAAGATGCTAATAAAATCAAAGGGGACAGCAAGAAAAGTTAACACTTGTGCTTATTTTCTAGGTAAAATATCTAGACGTTGCTAACAGGGCATGGATCTAGGATTGAGAAACCTTCTGCTGCAGAGGCAGTTTGTGAGTCCTGATGATAATATATTCTCCCCCATTTAAAAAAAAAAAAAAAGAAGAAGAAGAAAAAATGGCAGTGTCACTAAGGATGTAATATTGAAGCTGGTTAAATGATTAATCGGTAAGCGAATGCTTATCCATTAATGCTATCAGCTACACGTAATCCTGCTACCCCATGGCTTTGCTCAGTCCTGGCTGACGTCGGATCCAACAGCTACCCTGCTGTAGCTCAATCCTCCTACCCCATGGCTCTGCTCAGTCCTGGCTGATGTCGGATCCAACAGCTACCCTGCTGTAGCTCTGCATTTAAAGAGCTTGAAAGCCTGTGAGAGAGCAGCTGGTTCAGTCCCAGTTTGTGCTCGGTCCAACAGCAACCCGCACTGCAGAGCCACAGCAGGGATAGTTGTTGGACGCGCCAGGACGCGTGCATCAGCTCCCAAGCTCTTTAAGAGCAACCTATCGGTTCCACTGCAGAGCCACAGCAGGGATAGCTGTTGAACGCGCCAGGACTTGTGCATCAGCTCTCAAGCTCTTTAAGAGCAACCTATCGGTTAATCACATATCTGACAAAGATTTTGTTGGCTACATGATTACTGAATTACACACTTCCTACTAGTTACACTTGGGAGGGTAGGGACCATTACCCAAGGATCATTTTGTTGACTCTCCCAGAAATCAGTGCTGATCACAGTGGCATTTTCACACACGAATTAAGAATCAGGCAGATTCAGAGAGGCCATCAAAAACCCACTTGCAGGCCCACTGAGTCCAGATTTTAGAGGACTCTATAAAAAAAGTGTCCTAGATTAGGCTAGAATTAGCAGAAATTCACTTGTAACACTGTTGCACTTGTAACAAAATTTGGAAGAAAAAAAAACTTGTCTCAGTTGCCTGTTTGGCAGAGTTCCCTTAGTCCCTCTTCCTAAATCAACAAAACACAGAGAGGAAAAAACAAAAATCTACACACTTACCAAATCTCTCCTGAACCATAAGTGCTACTTGCTTGCCCACCTTAGTGCTGCCAGTGAAAGACAGAAGGTCCACCCTCTCATCCTTTGCCATTGTGGTGCTATGTGAGAGAACACATGACTATCCTCAAAAGAGTGGACAATTGGAACAAGCAGAAATTTATTTCTTTATTTTAACCAGTGATACCATTTTGTTATTGAAGGCACAGCATCCTTGACTTCCAGAGATCTTCGTGACTAGCCTGCAGCACTGTAAGAGCTGCAGGGGCCCCTCTACTACCTGTGGTGGCCATGAGTGGCTTGGAGAGCCCCATAAGTTCCTGGCCACTGTGGAAAGTCTGCAGCTTCCAAGCCAGGCACCCTGGGGTAGTGTGGGAGCCCCACACCTCCCCATTTTCTCATGCTTATTTTTAGTGAAAGTCCCAGATAAGTCACTGGCTTCTGTGAATTTTTCTTTATTGTCTAGGAGCTGTCTGTAATTTTTTTTTAAAAATGTGTGACACAAAATCTTAGCCTTAATTATAACAAAATGTTACATTTATGCCTTCAAAAGCCAGGAATACAAGACAGATTAAAAAAGAATCAAGTCAGTGCCTAACTAAAATGCAACTCAAAGATGCAAGAGTGTCAAAATAAGGGCCATATTTCCATGTTACAGTCTAGTACTGCGACTTATGCACTAACTCCAAAGTCTAGTCCTGCTGACAGCAACAAGGCACTTGGTTGTGATTTATACCAGACCAATGGCATGCTGAGTGCCCTAATGCCTCCTTAAGACCCATGTCATCAACTACTACTTGGGTTATACATCTTCCAAGGCTTTTTGTACTTTATGGGCTCACATGCTCCTCTATGGAGAGTGAACATCTTCAAATGGCATGCCCAGTTTGTACTTTATGGGAGTGAACATCTTCAAATGGCATGCCCATAAATGCTGTTGGGAGAGGGGATATTGCAGGAACTATCCCTTGGCAGTGCTCTTTATGGCTGCCCAGAAAGTTTTTTAGATGTGGCTACAAAGGAAGGGGAGGGGGAAAATAAAGAGTTAAAAATAGAAACACCCTCAGCAACTGGAAGCCATATTGGCAGTCTGCTAAATTTGTAGCAACATATTGTTCCAATAGTGGTCCATGAAATTCTTAGTCACATATTTACAGTCATGTTGGCAATGTGCTGGACTCTTTCCAGACCATCAAGAAAGGATGTTTCCTGTGCTAAACAGTCTCTGGACAGACAGGAATGTCCCAGTTATAGGGGAATAAAACAAGATAAATACAATTGGTTTCTAAAGGGGTAGTAACAACCCCATAGAGAGCAAAGCTTTTTTCAAACTAGACTATTCCCATAAGAAGAGCTGTCCCTAAGGAGGTGTGGGGCCCAGGATTCATCAGCCCATATGGGCATCCCATGGATGCTCTGGGTTTCCCCTCAGGGTGCTGGTAGGAATGGGGTAAGGGATATGCTGATAGGGGCAATTGGGCTGCAGCTGTTCCATGGAGCTGTGCTAATGGTATGAATTACTGGCAGGAGGCAGAGCCAGACAAACCATGCTGCCTCCTGATCGCTGACTGCCTCTGCCTGCTCAAGGCAGACAGCTGCTGTCCTCATCCTAGCTGTGACACTGATGTCAAACTGCAGAGGCTAGTGTGCTTATCCCAACTGCCTTGCCCAAGAGGCAGCTCTGCCCATAAGTCACCCTTCTTCCCTTCTCTTCCCTTCCTCACAAAATGCAAGATGTCTAGCTTACCCAATATCTGCACCACCACATATCAGGGAGCAGATTGCACCAGGCATTTTGTTATCCTCCAAAACTTTGGCTATTATCCTAGAAGTAAAGAGAAATATCTTGAGAAACTTGGATTTGAGAGATCTCAGAGGCACATGATAAAAATCAACAGGGTTTTTTGGGGGGTAAGATGAAAATAATAAAAATCTATCATCGGACACAGATGCAATTTTATACATAAACATACTCTCGTATCTGAAAAGATCTTTGTCCAGTGTAATGGTAAGCCTTATAACAAAATTCACATATTTAAAATATAGTGCATCTTCCAGGATATAACTAGCATAAAGAAAACAGAAAAAACATAGAAAATCCCAATTATACTGTCATTCATAGAATTTCCTTTGGAAATTCCCTGAAACTATTCTCAAAAGTAGCACCTGCGGAGAGAGACTCTCCGTATTGCAAGAACAAATAATATTATAAATATTATAGTATTTTAATTACTTAAAACAGGTTAAGCACATTGCAAACCATCTCCTCAATGTATTGATAGTGCGATCACAGATGTCACCAAGTGGCACTGTTACAGTTATCTGAGTGTTTTTTCTTTGTATGTTAGCAAGTTTTGATTCCTGGAAAGTCATGCTGTGTGGTTAGTTTTTGATTAGGCCAGGTCCTGGTTTGAGGCAACTTCAGGAGAGAGAGAGCTGGGCAAGCAACTGGAGAATTTACCTCAAAAATGACACTAATCAGAGCTTGAAGTTGCTTTCTGAAATCTAAGTATTGATGTTGGACTGAGATTCCTGGAAGATGGACTGTCAGCAGGCTATTTCATAGTCTCATTCAGGACTGGTACGTGCACAAACAAAACACGTTACACTTAGACCATCACGCAGTCTTGTCATCATTGATTTCCCCTCCACTAAGAAGCTGAACTGCAAAGGCTGCAGACTTCTGCTACTGCTCAGCAGAGGAGTCAGAAGAAGGGGCAATCAAGGGAACAAACATATTCAATATAGATTTGTTGCTGTCTGTTTGACAAGGTGAGGAGACAAAGCCACTCTCATCCAGCCACAAGATCTCAGAGACAAAGGGCAAAAACAATTATATGTATAGAAAAATAAAAAACTTACTTGGTAACAGCTACGCTAATGAGGGATGTTGTAGGAGCACCTTTCCTTTAAAAAAAGATGCAAAACATCATTTTCATTCTCAACAATACAAAGCACTTCATGCAACTCTTGTAATATGCAGGAAATCTGAGCTAGATATCTGGCACAGGACAATACTTCATGCAACTCTTGTAATATGCAAGAAATCTGAGCTAGATATCTGGCACAGGAAGCTTAGCCAGACACTTTCAGCTTGAGTTCTAATGCTAGATACTTCGGAGGAAGTGACTCAATACTAAGAGGTGTTATGGACCCAGAACTTCTAGCAAAGTGAAACTGAGCTATGGGTACCCAGAACTTTGAAAGTCATGCAACTTATTTGAATGCCTAGCTTTGTATACCCACATTTTAAAATGTCAATCATATTCTCTATCATTTGTATTCCAGAGAGGGCTCAATACCTAATTGGCTATTAGAGCCATTGTCCTAGATTGTGGTACAGACATGAATTCCAAGCCACTTCCTGATTCAAAAAGCTGACAGTATAGTACAAGGTAGTATAAGATAGCACAGAGTTTTTAAGCAGGACTTGGAGCCAGCCTAGTAAATATCAGAAGTAAAGGATTTGTAAATGTGGGATGAACAGCAGATATCCTGACATTTCAAATATTGTATTGTTTATATGCCTTAGATTATCCTTACAAACATAGCTCTGCTGTGATGAACAAAGACTACCACTAGCAACCTTTTAAAATAGTAGTTGAAAAGTATTTGAGCATCTTACCAAAGGCAAGCATTCCCACAGATCATTGCAATTGCATTATTCCAACCGTACACTGCTACAGGGAAGTTAAATGCAGTGATAATTCCTACCAATCCCACAGGATTCCACTGTTCTATAAGGGCATGTCCAGGTCCTGAAAACAGACACAAATGGGAGCCATTTGATTATGTGTACGTGCATGTGTATGTTTAGCTCAGTAAATGAAAAAAGGAAAAGGCATAGACTGCAACAACTCTTCTGGATCTGACACAGAGCCAAAGTTTGTTGACTTTTAGTATACAACTATTTATGCAAATGTTTATCAGGAGAAGGTGGATGATTTATCTTACTTGCATTGAGATGTGAGCAGCACTCAATTTATTACCTTTGTATTGGTAGTTCTAGAGCATTTGTTTATAACAACATAAGTTGCATATTTATCAGAACAAAAACATAAACTCTGTGGCATAACAAGTATATTTTTCTCATAACCATAAGCCACAAAAAAGTCAATACAGACATCCTGCTAGGGAACAAAATGAGAAAGGTCAGTTTCTGTAAAACTGTATTAGAGTTGTCCACGTCTAGATCTTAGTGCACAGAAAGGCTGTAACAGACTAACACGGCTACATTTCTATCACTATTCAGAAAGGCTGTATGCATTCTAGCTAGGTGTTCTGCTGAAAAATACAGTGAAATTTATTTCAATAACCCACAAGCCATATATTTCCACCAAATAACATCATCTCATTTTTCAATAGAATGTTAATAGCTTTAGTAAAGTCTATTTGTAGGAATTCATTACTTATACAATATATGCCATGTTACATTTGTACTCTGCTGCTTACAACTAGTTTACAAGTATGCTGAAATTATGTCAGTTGGATAACAAGGGAAACAAAAAGTACAAACATATTTGTTGCTGACCCAAACTGCAAAGTTTAATTGACAACAGATTTCCCATGTCTTAGTGTCAACCAGCTAGATTTTACTGTATTCGTCATATATTTTGAGTTAATGGCTTAGCTAATGGGGAGGAACTCCATTCTCTGTTACTATACGTGTGTATAGTTTCTAAGGGTATGTCTACACTACAAAGTTAGTTCGAACTAACAGACGTTAGTTCGAACTAACTTTCATAGGCGCTACACTAGCGCTCCGTTAGTTCGAATTTAATTCGAACTAAAGGAGCGCTTAGTTCGAACTAGGAAAACCTCATTTTACGAGGATTAAGCCTAGTTCGAACTAGCTAGTTCGAATTAAGGGGTGTGTAGCCCCTTAATTCCAACTAGTGGGAGGCTAGCCCTCCCCAGGTTTCCCTGGTGGCCACTCTGGCCAACACCAGGGAAACTCGTCTGCCCCCCTCCCGGCCCCGGACCCCTTAAAGGGGCACGGGCTGGCTACGGTGCCCGTGCCAGGTGCAAGCCTGCCAGCACCCAGCTAGCAGACCCTGCACCTGGCACGGCACAGAGCCACCCACCCGATGCCTCCCAGCCCACCCCCTCTTGCCGGGACCAGGCTGGCGGCTCCCGGGAGCTTGCCC